ATGCAAGTCTTGTCACTAGTGTTCTTCCTGGAAGACACTATGTATTATTGAAGAACTAGTAAGATTATGATATCACCAGTACCAAGAAAGTGAAATCTAAATAACTGAGCGTGGAAGAGATTTTCTGTCAAATTGTATTTTGTTTGCTTTTTTTAAGGCAACTATTTAATCCAAAACCTGATTAAAAAGTTGGGAGAAAAGTTCTCATTGTTTAGAGTTGAAGCAGAAGGGTGCTGAACGAGGACTAACTAAGCTCCCGTTCCATTTCTCTGCTCCTCCAACAAGAAATCCAGCAAAACCAGCAAAGGCAAAAAAATTGATATTTTAAGGTAAAAAACAAACAGGAAAACCCCTGCCCTGCTTCATAAAGAAGAAAAAGAAGGGTGCAAACTGGGCCATTCACCTTTAAAAGAAAAAATTGTGCCTAAAAAAGGCCCTCTCATCAACGTTGCCATGTGGGTGATGAAATGGTCCAAAGGTTGCTATAGATAGCTAAAGAGCACAGGCAGAGGCAGATTAAGATTTATTGGGGCCCTGGGCACAAAACACCTGGGATCCCTCCACCCCATTAAAAACACAAATGTATCAAAATGCATTAATACAAAGACTCCATGCATGCCCTTAAAATTTCACATTTCTTTTAAAGAGATTACATGTTGGTGTCATTTTGATTCTGTGACATCTACTGAACTGAGAGTAGTTTAGGAAACTAATTACAGCCAGATTTTGCGTATCATTCCCAGTAACATCAGTACATAGTAATGGAAAAAATGTGCTATAAGTAATATACTATAAATGTCTCTCTTTAATGTACCCATTACACTTACATTTTAATAATACCATCTATCACATTGTGTACCCAAAAATAAAAATACAAAACATGTCATAAGAATGTACATCTTTCCTCTTAAATGACTGTTCGCTTCTGGGTTTTGAGGGAGGAAAAAAATCATGTATAATATCATCAAAGTCCATTTGTCGAGCCAGTTCTGACTCAACTGCCATTAGAGACAAGGCATTCAGATGCCTTTGATGCACTGTTGATCTCAGTTCATTTTTTATCCTTGCCAGCTTGGAAACCGTACGTTCTCCTTCACAATTTGTAACTGGTAGGGTCATGAAAATTCTGAGAGCAATGTACGTATTAGGGAATGTTGATTGAAGGCCGCTTTGCTTTAAAACTTGCAGCAAAGGGGCTGGAGATTTGTCAGGCTCATCCTGTACAAATAATTTGAATTGTATGAGTCCATCAGGAAAATTTTGTTCCAAGTCATCAGGGTAAACTGCAGCAAGTTCAGCAGCATTCTTGTGAATGTCAGAAATGTCCAGCAAGTTGTTTTCAAATAGTACTCCAAAGTGGTCATTCAGCAACTTATAGGCATCCTGTCAGTGATGAAGAGAAGCTACGTAAAAAGTCTCAGTGCGAAACTTTTGACTTTCCTCAAGTAAAACCTCAGGTCCTCCTAATTCATCTGCTAACTGTTTTCATTTTCAGTAACAATTCAGATCAGTTTGATAATTCTGTGAAAGAGTCTTGCATGGGTTTGTAGCAGCATTTTCAAAAAACTTGAATTAATCTCGTAGAGAAGTCACAAATAATTGTAGTGATTGCAGTAAGTGAACTGCTGTATTCAGGTTGATGTCACTTTTCTGTAACTGCAAGCTGGTCATTTTAAACCGTTGAAGAACGATGTCCCAAAATTGTGCCATAAAGGCTGTTTCCAAATGTTCCATTTTTCTCTGAAGGGAAGCCGCTTCCAGTTGGGTGTCAAGTTACTGGTTCATATCTTTTGACATGCTTTCTAGGGCATGCTGAATTGTATTATAGTTCTGACACGGGGCCCTTGTAGAATCTGTCCAACTGCTCTATCATGTGTCAGGACTTTTGACTGTCAAGAATGAGTGGCTCCTATCATCATGGAAAAACCTGTTTCCATTGATATGTAGAGGTTGAACAGAAAATATAAAGTGACTGCAGAAACCAGAAAAAATTAACTACATTTGAACAATGGTTGTTAATACTGTTGACTCCCACTAAATTTAAAGAATGAGCAGCACAAGGAATGTAGACAATAAGAGGGTTTAGTGGATTTAAATATGCCTGCAGATCATTATATCATCCCAACATATTGCTGACATTGTCATGTTTGTCCATGGCAATTAGGTGTGTCCAAACCCAAGCTGTTTGTCATTGCAAGTACACAATCAGCAAGGCTTGTACCTGTATAAGTCTCTAGCGGCTCAAATCCAATGAATCATTCTACAATTTGTCCCTCTGACTTGACAAATCTGCATACAAAAGTGAGCTGATCAACATGCAACATCAACTGTGTTGAATCCACAATAACTGAAAAATATTTGCTTGTTGAAGTTCTGCCACTATTTTGTGTTAACTTTCTGGCCCACCAAATCAATGAATTCTTCACAAGTAGTCAATGACAGATAAGAGGTACTGCCTTTTCCCTTCTATCCCAATTTAGCGATCCAATTTGATCCAAAAATGGATCAAATTGAGCAACTAACACCAAAATCCCCAAATAATTACCATTATGTGGTGAACCTAACAGCCTAAGGCTCTGGAAGGGAGTTTGGGTGGGGGGGGAGGAGGTCTGGGGTACAGGCCTTGGGCTGGGGCAGGGGGTTTGGGGAGTAAGGCTCTGGGAGGGAATTTGGATGCAGAAGGGGTGAGAGGTTGGGCTCTGGGAGAGAGTTTGGGTGGGGCAGGAGGTCTGGGGTGCAGGCTCCACGCTGGGGCAGAGGGTGAGGGGTGCAGGCTCTGGGAAGGAATTTGGGTGCTGGGTGAAGGCTCCGGACTGGGGCAGAGGGTGGGGGTGTAGGAGGAGGTGAGGGGTGCAGGCTCTGGGATGGAGTTTGGGTGTAAGCTCTGGGCTGGGGCAAGGGGTGGGGGTGAGGGGTGCAGGGTCTGGGAGGGAGTTTGGGATGGGAGGAGGTGCTGAGGGAGTGCAGGCTCTGGGATGGAGTTTGGGGATGGGAGGAGGTGCAGAGGGAGGGAGTTTGGGGGCAGGAGGGGGTGTGGGAAAGGGGCAGGGGTGCAGGCTCTGGGAGGGGTGCAGTGCTTACCTGGGGTTCCCAGGCAGGGCAGACTGGAGGGCCTCTGTGCACTGCTACCCCCAGGCACTGCCCCCACAGCTTCCTATTGGCCACAGGGGTGCTTGGGGCAGGAGCAGCACACGTAGACACAGACCCACGCTGCCCTGGGGCCGCAGGGAGGGGCCAGCAGCCACGTGGAGCGAGCAGGCAGAAAGCCGCTCCGCTGCACTGCCGATGGGGGCCCTGAGCTGTTTTAAATCTCCCAGGGTATGCACAGGGGGGTGAGCCTGGGGGCGGAAGGCAGAGCCGAGGGAGAGACCCGGCCTCAAACATTGCTGGAGCCAGGCCCTGGGCCAGAAATACTGTTTGAAAAGACACATTTCTGTTAAATGTTTCTGATATAATTAGTGAAAGAAAGGGATGGTGGGGGGTTTTCTTGGATTTTTTATTTTCTTAGGTTTATTGATGTAATGACATCCTCAATTGCATCTTCAAAGCATGCTCCACTCTCCTGCATCATGTGGGGACCTGGCCATGTTGGAGATGAGAGACAATTTTACCCTATTCTTCTTGGTGCAGTGCCAAAAATCTGTACATTTCTGAGAGCCTGGTGGAGGGAATATCTAAAAAGCTATGAACCTTCATGGTTTGGGGCACGAGTCAACCTCCAACTGTTGCCCCCACTTGGGAACCCCATAATTGCACCTTCCTCAAATCAGGGCACAGCAGGGCAGCGGTCTGTGGAGCGAGGGGCTTGGGATGGGAAATCAGGCGACAGCAGGGTGGACAGTATTCCTCCCACCTTCCCTCGGCACTGTTACCCACCTCCAGAGATGGATTATGAGAGCACCCTTGACCCTCCACCTGCCCTGGGGCAGGGGCACGGGCTGCTCTTGGGCTCCCCAGTCCCTCACCCAGGGCAGGTGGAGGGCCTGGCTCCCCAGTTGCCCAGGCTCCCTAGGTGGCTCTTACCACAGCCAACGGCAGTGGTCCCCAAAGTGTGGGGTGTGCCCCCTAGGGGGGCAGAGAGGAATGTTCAGGTGTGTGTGGCAGGGCCCGAGTCAGCCCCCACAAGGGGGCTGAGGGAGCACTAGCCAGTCCTGCTCTGCCCCCAGCCCCACCCCCAGCCATGGTTTTACTCCTGGACACACTCCAGCCGCACCTCTGGCCCCGCTCCCGGCCACAACCCCACTCCCAGCTCCACTGCAGCCCCTGGCTTCCAGGAGGATGGGGGGAAAGGGCACAGACCAGGTAAGGGGGACACACAACCAAAAGTTTGGGGATCCCTGGCTGAGGGTTAATCATACCTTCCATTTTGGCTCTAGATATCCCAACTGTTTTGGCAAAACTGGGCATTTGTCTCATTTGCTCTTGCCAACGGATCACCAGTTTGCAAGGGCAAATTATACAAATGCCCATTTTTACCAAAAAGGGGTAGGGGAGGGGTGAGAGGCGGGGCTCAGTTCAGCCCTGTGTGTGGGACAACGGGGCTTGGGCGAGTGGCTCAGGCCAGCTCCAGGGGGTGGCACTGAAAGGGAGAAGAGGCTTGTTCCAGCTCCATACGGGGGACGGGAGACGCAAACCTACTCACTCTACCACAGGCTCCATCACCTTCCAACCTGGCTGGGGGCGGGGCCGCAGGCGGAAGGAGCAGCGGGGGCGTGGCCAGAGTGACAACGCTCCTGAGGGGGGCCCAAATTGGCCGGGCCCGGGCATTAACCCACCACTGGGCAAAGGCAACATTGGCCCATCTCCCCTAATTACCGCCCCGGCCTCCTCCCAGCCCTAGTGCCCCCTCCACACCCCTTTGGCCCCGACCCTGCCCGAACTATCCCAGCCAGGAGTCACGCCCGCGCCGCTCTTCCCTCTCTCCGCCCCCGCCTCCGCCCCCAGCCGCGCGCTCGCAGCCCCCGAGAGAGCCAGGGCCGCGCGCAGCAGCCCGCACCCGCAAGCTCTCGCGAGGCCGCGGCGGCGCTGTTGCTGTGGTTCCCTCGGCTGGGGCGGCGCTAGCGTTGGCGCCGCGGCCCGGCCCGGATGTTGTTGTTTCTCCCCCTCCCCGGATAATGAAGGGCGCTTCCTGCCCCTGAGCCGCAACGACGCCGGCTCAGCCTCGCCGGTGGACCCCGGCCGCCTGCCCGCTCCTTATCCGGACACACAGCGCGGCCCGGCTATGGCGGATTTCGACGAGATCTACGAGGAGGAGGAGGACGAGGAGCGGGCGCTGGAGGAGCAGCTGCTGAAATACTCGCCCGACCCGGTGGTGGTGCGCGGCTCTGGCCATGTCACCGTGTAAGGGCCGCGCCGGGGGGAAGGGAGGGCGGTAGGCCGCGGGCACGCGATGGGGCCGGGGCGCGGGGGGGAAATGTGCGAGCCTGGGCTCCATGGGGGAGGGGGCAGAGTTGTGCCCCGTCCATCCCCTGCTCTGGGAGCTGGATCGGCCCTGGCGGTGCCCCGTGGGGTGTGATGCGATTGGCGGTGCCTGCTGTCTGCCAGCTCGTTGGAAAGGGCCTGGGGGAAAGCTCCGCTGCTGCAAGGAGCCAGGCTGCGAGTCTGGCTTTGAACTTCCAGCCCAGGTCGGGGGAGTGTAGCTCCTCCCTCCCTGTTGCCTCTTCGTAGCGAACCGTGGGGGCACCTGTGGCGTTTCCCCTGTGCCGCATCTTGCATTTTGTCACGTTGTAAAGCCCTCAGTACTGTTGGCTAGAAACCTTCACAGGCAGATCGTTTATTGAGACATTAAGGAAACAAAGCTGACCTGGGTTGTGATTAACAGAGGTATGTAAAGTATGAGATCCGCTGATGAGCTGTCAGGAAGTGGGACACTTGGTTGCTATTTTTTTTTACAAGTACATGACCTGTAGTTGTTTATGCTGCTGTTAGTCACTGTCTCAGCCTCCTCCTTTATCAAGCGTCAACGTTCTCTTGTGGTCTGAAAAGTCTTAGTAAATACAGTAAGAGCAGCCAACCAGTCTGACAAGCACACGCAAAACAATGTCATTAGCTTTTTGGCATGTGATGAGGGTGACCGACCCACTGTTGCTGTGGCTTCCTTTTTTTTTTTGGCCAGGTATCAGTGGGGATCTGGTGGTGACTAAAATAAAAGTGTATTTAAGTTTTCAATAATTTCACAGGCTAGGTTGTTTTCTGTGATCTATTCTATTTAAAACAAATCGCTTAGTGCTTATGAATGGTACTGCATATCCTTTAAAACTTAAAAAAAATCTGCAAAAGATAGAATAGGGGAAGCACAAGCTTCTTCATGTTGTATTCACTACTGAACTGGACTGGATTTGAGGCAGCAGCATAGAAGTTAAAGGCCCTGTATCCTATTATCAGATGTGATGCAAAGCTATTCAAGATATTGGGGTTAACTTTTCATTAATATTGTTGTTAATGTCAGGGAAAGTATCAATGCAGAAATACATTGATTTGCTGGTGAGAAATCAGAAAGCATACATAAGGCCTAGGTGTTCTTTGGGAGAGATGTTAGGGGTGAGAAGATGTTGAAAGGAAGGGAATGATTTGTTTGTAGGTCAGTTTGAATACAGCTCTGGTTTGTACTTGTTACCATCCAATAGCATATGTGAAATAGTCCATTTCTAGTGGACAGCTGATCATATACTATATTAAAATCATAACTGTCATTGCTCACTAGTTGGCAACCTTTTCACTGTTCTTATTAAAAAGGCAAAGAACTAAAGGAAATTAAGACACTTCTCTTTTCAGTTCCTTGATTGTGGGTCCTGTGGTCCAAGATCAAGGCACATTGGTGGGAAAGCATGGAAAAGCCTTCGCACTTGTGGCTCATAGAAGGGATTTGGCTCTGGGCTGCCAGTCCTGCCAACTATTCATGTGAATTATTTTAATAAAAAAAAATCTCCTAATCTCTAATACACCTCTACCTCGATATAACGCTGTCCTCGGGAGCCAAAAAATCTTACCGTGTTATAGGTGAAACCGCGTTATATTGAACTTGCTTTGATCCACCAGAGTGCGCAGCCCCGCCCCCCGGAGCACTGCTTTATCGCGTTATATCCGAATATGTGTTATATCGGGTCGCGTTATATTGGGGTAGAGTGTACTTGATCTTTTGGGTAGCCAAAAGAGTGCCTATTTTGAGTGGTCTTCATCTGGTTTGTATATCCCACCCAGTATTAAATATGCTCTGAATGTCCTCAGCTGCCCATTTTCCCTCTCTTCACCCTAAATGACATCTATTTAATGTAATTCCGTGACATCAGAGAAGACTGAAAATTCTTATTGGAGTCTTTCACCTCTTTCCTTCTAATGAAATTGCAACCCGTTTGTAATTCCTACTTCTGTATCATTGTGTTTCCTTAAATGAGGACTTTGACACTAGAGAGACATTTCAAACGTATTTGGGATAAGATATAAAAGCTATTTTTCATTTAGATTATTGTTATGCAAAGCATTCTTCTTCCTTGATTTACAGAAACATGCATTTTAGAGATCTGGAAAATTTTATCACAGATCTAGCAAGCAAAAGGAATATTTATGGTGGTCTCACTGATTCTGCAGTTTAAAACAGTTGCTGATTGTGTTTGTATTTAAATAAAGGCTTCCTCCTTCATAGTCTATTGTCTTATCCTTTCTGATCTTGCATTGGAGTCATAATGTTGAATTTGTATTATCAGTCATTTTCATGACTACAGATTAATGTCACAAAGACAGAATTATTACTTGACCATCATGCACCAGGAGGAGAAAATGGGTTATGTGTGAGAGAGTCCTTAGTTAAAACTGTTTTAAAAAATAACAAAGGGAATGCAGGTGAATACCCCTGCATTAAACTTTTTATTTGCACAGTAATCAATTTAGTTTTTGTCAAGGTCCAAATTTCTTGGTCAAAATATAGTCAAGGTCCAGACTCCAGAGGAAATGTTGTTGTTATTTTTGTATTAAATCAATAAAAAGATTTTGTCGTCAAAAGTGTGTCTGGTGGTCCAGATTTGGCCCGCGGTTCACCTATTGACTATCCCTGGTTTAATGTCTAAAGACCATTTTCCAAGTTTGCTTTCTGAACAGAGTTCTCCTTTAAAACAAACTAGAACTATATGCAGAATGGCCCAAATAGAGTAAGAGGTTAAAGTCTCTTGTTATTTAAAAACTTCTCTCCCCTCCCGCCCCCATTTATTTCAGATCTACAACTTTCAGACCACCAGACTCTAGTTGGTATGGTACCATAGTAAGTGCGCTGCTGGTAACACTCCTACTATTTCATCCTACTACTAAGCATCCCTCATTTTTAAATATTACACGTTTCTCTAAAGTTCTAATATCTTTAAACTTGACAAACCATAAAAAGTGATTTAAATCAGGGAGTCAACTATTAAAGTACTTACTTTTATATCTGTAGGTCAGCTCCAGTTTTTAGTGGGTGATAGGGATGACATTGCTAGCAAAATATGCATGCTAGAGTGTCTCACCAACTAACAGCTGGTGTTCTCTGTTGGGTATGAAAACTATGTACCTGGAAAAAAAAGGAGAAAAAGTTATGTATTCATTGACAAATTTGCTCAGTGTTCCTATTCTTTGATAATTTGAGGCATTTATAAAGCTCAAAGCTTATACGTTATAAAATTGTTTGATTTTTTGTAAAATATGTGTTTTCAGGTTGTCTTTAAATTAATGGATTTCAGATTATTTGCCTATTATACAGTGTATTTGAAATTGATGTATATATCAGTAACAAAGTATAGAAGGTCAGATGTATTAATTAAAAATGTGATTTAAATCAGTGAAAAAGCTTGATTTTTAAACTTACTTTTGTGTTTCCAAAAGAGAGGTTGGTTTTCATCTGTTGACAAGAGTCAAAACATTTTCATTATCTATTTCATAGAATCATAGAACTGGAAGGGACCTTGAGAGGTCATCCAGTTCAGTCCCCTGCACTCAAGGCAGGACTAAGTATTATCTAGACCATCCCTGACAGATATTTGTCCAACCTGCTCTTAAAAATCCCCAATGATGGAGGTTCCACAACCTCCCTAGGTACTTTATTCCAGTACTTAACCACTCTGACAGGAAATTTTTCCTAATGTCCAACCTAAACCGTCCTTGCTGCAATTTAAGCCCATTGCTTCTTGGCCTATCCTCAGAGGTTAAGAACAACCATTTTTCTCCCTCCTCCTTGTAACAACCTTTTATGTACTTTAAAACTGTTATCATTTCCCCTCTCAGTCTTCTCTTCTCCAGACTAAACAAACCCAATTTTTTCAATCTTCCCTCATCGGTCATGTTTTCTAGACCTTTAATCGTTTTTGTTGTTCTTCTCTGGACTTCCTCCAATTTGTCTACATCTTTCCTGAAATGTGACGCCCAGAACTGGACACAGTACTCCAGCTGAGGCCCAATCAACACGGAGTAGAGCCGAAGAATTATTTCTCGTGTCTTGCTTACAATACTCCTGCTAATATATCCCAGAATGATGTTTGCTTTTTTTGCAACGGTGTTATACAGTTGACACACATTTAGCTTGTGATCCACTATGACCCCCCAAATCCCTTTCCGCAGTATTCCTACCTAGGCAGTCATTTCCCATTTTGTATGTGTGCAACTGATTGTTCCGACCTAAGTGGAGTACTTTGCATTTGTCCTTATTGAATTTCATTCTGTTTACTTCAGACCATTTCTCCAGTTTGTCCAGATCATTTTGAATTTTAATCTATCCTTCAAAGCACTTGCCACCCCTCCCAGCTTGGTATCGTCTGCCAACTTTATAAGTGTACTCTCTATGCCATTATCTAAATCATTGATGAAGATATTGAACAGAACTGGACCCAGAACTGATCCCTGTGGGACCCCACTCGTTATGCCCTTCCAGCATGACTGTGAACCACTGATAACTACTCTCTGGGAACGATTTTCCAACCATTTATGCACCCACCTTATAGTAGCTCCATCTAGGTTGTATTTCCCTATTTTGTTTATGAGACGGTCATGGGAGACAGTGTCAAAAGCCTTACTAAAGTCAAGATATACCACATCTATCGCTTCCCCCCCCATCTACAAGGCTTGTTACCCTGTCAAAGAAGGCTCTCAGGTTGCTTTGACGTGATTTGTTCTTGACAAATCCATGCTGACTGTTATTCATAACCTTATTATCTTCTAGGTGTTTGCAAATTGCTTAATTATTTGTTCCATTATCTTTTCGGGCACAGAAGTTAAGATGACTGGTCTGTAATTCCCCGGGTTGCCCTTATTTCCCTTTTTATAGATGGGCACTATATTTGCCCTTTTCCAGTCTTCTGGAATGTCTTGCGTCTTCCATG